AAGGGAAGAAAAGCAAGCGAAGGTGCAGCTCTAGGGCGGAGAAGCACGTTTCTTGCTGCTGCTGCTAAGACGTAGGTCCCCCCTTAGACACTGCACACTGAGAAGCCAGTTCACGGTGCATGGGCACATCAGTGCCCTCACGGTGACTCCGGGAAGGGCCGGTAGCTGTGCTGTAAGCTGTACAACGACGGTAAGCCTCTGATTGTAACTGCCCTGCTCCGACTTCTCAGCACACATACCCAGTGTAACTGGCTCCCATACCAGCTCCACAAAGACTTCTTACTGGGGAAGATCATGATTGGATCTGGTCTCAGTCCCTCATGGAGGACCGTATCCTTGAGACTTTCTCCATCATATGACCACTTTATCCTATGACCCCAAACGCATCAGGGAATGCACATACTCAGTTTCCTGGAAGCAGGATCCTGTGAATAAGGTTATACGGCAGGACATTATTTCCTTGTACTCCTGTGACACGATCACATATCCCCTTCCCGTGAGGCTTTGAAAGCTGGCATATTTATTTCTTGAGAGATACACAGCTAATAGCATCAGTGGAGGAACTAAGGTCCTCATGAATTCTCTGGAACAGAGGAGGCTACCAGAGCAATCTGTCCACCCTGTGGCGTGTGTCCAGCTGGCATCTCATCAGCCTGCAAGAAAGAGGGTAGCAAGGAATGAACTATGGGTTGATTGCATTTTCTGGTGGGCCAAATTCAGAATGCGATCCTTTGGCTGGGTTCTCTGGATTAAGAAACTATGAAATAGCTTCAGTATTGTTGATACAAAAGGAGTCACCCATGTAAGAAGAAAAGAACAACTATAAGGTAGATTTTCAAGAACCGAGATGTCCATTATGGTCTTGACCTTTTCCAGTGTCTTGTAAAAACCATGAGCATCAGTCAATTGACCCAAATCTGCTGCCTCATGCTGAAAAAATTAAATTTTGTGCTTGCATACTTTCACTCCAACATCTCTTCAGATTCTATAATGTTGCTGTGACAGATCCAGGTGAGGTTTTACTCAGTGAATGAATGAACAGAGGACTTAAGCATCTCAGTTGCACTGACCAATACATTGTGCCTGGCATGCTCCCAGTCCCATGATGCTTGAATTTGTGCATGGCTGCAGGATGCCCTTTGCATAAGGCATACGTCCACTGATATACACTGAACACCTTTTGATATACTCATTATATGGATGGGAGGCCACTGGAACAAAGAACTATTGATGGAAGTTTAAAGATGAAGACTAGTATCAGTGTACCCATTTCGGCAGCCCGTGAGATTTCTCCTTTGAAAGTAAAGCCAAAAACCTTTAGGCCAGTTCAGCTAGAGAGATCAAAGATCTTCAATATGAACAAGCTCAATTGGTTTGGCATATAGCGTTAATCCTTATACTTAAGATTTCCAGATATTCTGACTAGTGATGTCTTTTTTAATGCAATGATATGTTGTCCTAAATGTTGCAGTGGCACCTAGGAAATCAGTCTGAATTTGGTTTCATTCTGCTGGATGAGATCCACAACAAAAAGATAATTTCCCCTGCAAGAGATCCAAAGGTTCATTTAAAATAGCTAACACATTAAATACCCTAGTGTGCATGCTGTGCTTTCAAAACATGTTACTTAAACAGTGTTATTTTCCTTTTAATATTGAAGAGATTTGACAATGTCACTTGGCTGTGTCACTCTCACAAGCCATGGAAGACACAGAGATTATGTTTAGCCAGCTTTCTGCACTGTCTAATTTTGTGCTGGCAGGCTGAATTCCTGAGGTATGTTAGATGAGTCTCAGAGCTGCCTTAATTTATGCTGGCTAAACCATTTCCTTCTGCGCCATTTCACAGGTGCGGGATCAGCAGAGCAATTCATGTTCCACTCCTCGACCGCCCCTGCTCAGTATCTACCACAGTTTATCCCTGAATTCCCAGCAAGGGGACAAATACTGCCACCAAGCTTAAAAAAGCTTTATTGATCTGAGAGTGCTCAGAGAGACTCTGCAACAATACAGAGTGCAGCTACATCCCTCTACCACGCTGCTTGCATGTGAATTTGGAGAACTAAAATTTCACTAGTAGTCCCAGTGTTTTGTTAGTGTTTTAGTTGCATCAGGCCACATAGTAGGACAGAAGGTTGCATCTAGTTCCTTCCCAGAGATTCAATTTCTTTTGATTTTGTGCTTGGCAAAGTAGATAATTTTTATTTGTCAAGCTCTTCTGGAATGGAAATTTGGGCTCAAACTCTTCAGCTGAAAGAAACCATACAATCTCCCTGTAGTTTTTTCATGGTGTAAAGGTACAATCTGGCTGCCACATCATCGTTGAGTCTGGAGTTTAAGTGGACACTCAAATAAATAAAAGCCACACCTGCCGCAGGCCAGTAACTATCTCTATTTAATTATGTTGTTTTCTTACAGAAGATTTTTGAAGTCTGTAGCTAATCTAGAATCTTAAGGGCGATAATTGGACAAATCAGTTTAGTTGGGCAGCTGATTCTGTGCAAACCTAAGCGGAATAGTAATGCGTGACTAATACACAACAGCAGTCTGCATGAGATAAAGATGCATGTGTAACATATGCAACACAAACACAAGACACTGTGGGAAGAAAAGATGAAGGTATTTAACAGTATATACATGCTACTTCTCTGCTCCAAAGTGCACCCCTTTGCGCAGAACAAACACAGTGCTGTAGGGACAGTGAAGCACGACCTTCACTCTCTGCCACTGGGTACCCCAAGATCCCATTGTTCTCTCTTCCACGTTTTCCAGTCTGGAAACAAGTGAGAAACTTCTCACCCCTGATCCAGCTTAACTGACCGTAGAGCATCTGCCTCCTGATAAGCCAAGAGGCTCATTTTTGAGGAAAATCTGGGATGCTGTAAATTTTGTTCTCTGCCAGGTAACAATAGTCGCCAGTCATGCCAAAAAAAAAAACCCCACTCTTTTTTTGTGCAAATATAAAATCATTAGATGTTCCCAGGTCCCCAGCCTTAATTCTCAGCCTGCATATGTTGGTATTTGCATTGTACGCCTCTTAAGCTGAAAAAAAAGACTCAAAAAAGAATTTCTTCAGATTGAGGGGGAGAGAGAGGCATAGGTGCTTTACTCTGGTATAGCAGTGAATGGTGAACACTTGGTCAACAAACTTGGAGCCACTGAAGAACATCCTAGAAGATGACCTGTTTTAAACAACAGCCCTCTCCAGAAATGATAAGTACACTCAGGTCTGTGGATCACATGCAGTAACTTCAGTGGATCCAAGAGGCACTAAAACTGTCCTGCAGCAGTGATACCTCTCTGTACACATCACAAATGTGGGCCAACAAGCGACGTCGAAGTTGCCACATGAGTAGGGACCCACTGTCAGGTATCTGCAGTCCCTCACCCACTGATGGCAGTGAGTCCAGCACACCACGTACCACATCTGCTGCTCACCAACCCACCAGCCTCTGGAGCAGGATGGTAGAGGAATATTTTACACCAGTTAAAATGATGCTCCTGCCTGTAGTGCTTTTCAGGAAAGAAGCAACGAAGTAGTTTTCAGAGGAGGAGCTGAAAGCAGGCTCTGGGCAAGGCTGTAGGGTCCCCAGGGGTTCGGTCCCCACAGGGTGGGGAGGGGAGGTGGCAGTTCGCGGGGGTCATGTGTCAGGTCGCCTTTCTCAGGAAGAAGTGAATTGTAAAATGATGGGCACGGGCCGCTCCCCCACCCTCCACGAGCCTTCGTGCTCAGGATTAAGGTTTGGGAGGTTTGGAGTATGCCGCTATGGAAACGTACCTCAGTGCTCTGGAGCAGCCAAAAGCTAATTACATTTTCGGAATGATTGGGAAAGGAACAGAACATAGAAAACCCAACAGTGCTATAGCCCTGCATGTGCAAACTACTCAACAGCTCAAATGTTCTCTGCTGCTCTGCTTCTTCATCTCAAACACCACATATTCCATATGCGAACGGGGCACTGACTGCAACCACAGGTAAATTCTGGAAGAGTCACAGGCGTCAGAGGACACAGACAGACCTGCTGAGGTAATGAGTTAAAGCCTACTGAAGATAACTACTGAGCAGTCATACCAATGCCATCATGACAACAGTCATGTTGACCCCTGATGAGGCACTGAAGCCACCTGAACTCTAATTCAGAGATTTTTTTCCGTGTGGGAATTCTGCTGGGAAAGGGAGACTTACCAGATGGCAAGCAGCTGCTTCTTTTCCGTTCCACTGAAGGCTGATCTTCTCAAAGTAGACACTATTTCCCAGTTCTCCAAGGTTCTTCGTGTATAGTCTAGGTTGGCAGCTGCTCATATGGCAAAATGTGAATCTGCTCACCTGTACATGCTTACAATTTCTAAATTCTATGTATTTATAAATATTAATATATAAAAGGCTTTCATTCCTTCTTAAGAGTTGTTGAATTTTTTTTTTAATCTTGATTTTGAAAAAGGAGTTCAGTATCTAAGCCATTTTACATCTGTTATGGCTTCCAACTTTCTAGCATATTTCTTCCCATGGAGATATTAAATAAAATTCCTATACCTATAACTTTTTAAGTGACATGAGCTATAGTTTCACATGAATTTATTTTTCCTCCTCTTGCAAAGGTCCCTGTGTCAGAATTACGAAGTCTGGTAGGGGATGTCCATAGTGCACTTGCTTCGGTCTTTGTCCATGTACTTTCCCTCAAAAAGGGATAATAACAATATATGAGTGTCTTAGTTTCCCAATTCCCACTTTTTGTCTCTGTCTTTGCAAATAAGTTCAGCATTATCAGCATACAGAGCAAGACAGATTTGGTAACCAAAGGACCAATCTTTCCTTAACCAAAAGGACCAGACTGTATGGAGGCCTGCTGTGTAGTGGAACATCAACTTTATTTCTGCATTCAATAATTTAGACTATCAATCAGAGCTCCCCAGTGTTGGGCCTCCCCAAGCCCAGGGCCACTCTGAGCTTTCTTCCGGTGTTTCTCATACAATCTTGCATTGTCTGACCTGCCTCCTTGCTTAATTTTTATGGCTCTTCCTTCTCTTCCTCCTCGATTTCCCTTCCACAGGATTCTGTGCTGGCTTCTGCTCCTTTAAGTGAGATTGAAAGGAAGGAGATGAACCAGTATTAATCTAGTAAAGTGAACCTTCCCTGTCAGGTACCTTAAAGCTGCTGAGAGGACCTTGAGGAAACAGCCTGAGGTGGGAACAGTAAGGACAGCAAAGGTCACAACTCTTCTGACTCTTGTCTACAAGGTAAATACTACCACTACTACACATGCTGCAGTGCTAAAATGCATTAAGAAGCTAGATAAGGAGTAGATATCTCCATCTATTTTTCTCCACGTACCAAATCAGCTGCATTAATGGTACCAAATGAAGTCTTTGCCAGCTATTGGGTTTGAACAGTTACTAATCTGCTTACTACTTAACCACAGTTCCATAATTTGTGCCTACAGTACTTGGGAACCCCATGTAACCTATGATTCAAGATTAACCGGGCTAAGGCCTATGTAGTGTCTGAGCATGGGTGTACAGCACCGATGTATGTGGAGGAATAAAGACTGGATCTAACAAAATAATTTGCTTCTCTTTGAAAAGATTAGGAGACTAAGAGGGGAAGAGATTTGCAAAACTGACCCATTGTTTCTAGACTTAAAACTAGACTTCAGCATATATTTAAACCCATCAGTATGTGCTGAGGGATGACAATATTTGGGCATGATTAATAGGGCTTTCAGCTGATAAGTCACATGTCAGAACTGACTGAAAATCTAGGGGGAATTTTGGGTCCAATGACAAGCAGTGTAGCCTGCAGCGACTAACAACCTCCGAGGAGTTTGCTGCTGACTGCTCAGACTCTCAGAACTTGGACATGATTGCTACAGGCACTAAGGAAGAGGCACTTTCAAGAGAATGAAAAGTTCTGTAGTTTGAAGGCGGGTTTCCAGGGAAAACTAGGTCTCCTAAGAAGGAGGATCAGAGAGCAGGAAAAAATCTGAGAGTCCCTGAGGATGGAGGAAAAGGTCTGAAGGCACAGATATGCTGTCTTTGCAAATCTTACCCTGGCTTCAGGGGAAGAACAGTATTGAGCTTCTCACACAGGCTTATGGGAATGAATGAAAATGCCATTCAGCTCTGAGATCCCTGCTGTCCTACAGCAAGTTTATCAAATAGAAAAATAAGGCTGCCTTCTAGTTTGAGCAGAGCTTCTAAGAATACAAGGTGTTTTTTTTGTCTGCTTTTTACTTAGGTAGGTAATGGACTGGCCAAAAACATATATCCCTTCACCTCCTAAGGTGAATAAGGTTATGTTTATTTAGTGTTGAGCCAAATTAAAAAAAGAAAGACAAGCCAGGATGGTAAGTGGAGACAGTCATCTACAGTCCACAACCCCTATCTGATTCTAGTCCAGCTTGCACACTAGTTCCCCAATTTGGACTCGATCCAGTGGGATGCTTGGTTGCTAAGAGGAGAAGAGAAATGCTACCAAACCTGGGGTTTTTTTAAGCAGAAAAATCCTCCACATCAGCCTGGGGCTTGGCCACCTTTTAATAGGTGAGCAGATGGCCTGGTGCATGGAAGAAGGGGTGGAAAAAATCCAGAGTGGTGGAGGGAAGGCAATTTCACACTTTTAGGATTAAAATAAGATTTTTTTTGCATTTTTCATAAAAGAGCATCATGGCTGACCGACCATTGCTGCTGATCCCAAGCACCATGGTGGTTTTGGAAGGAAGAAAACTGTCTACACAGTGTGTAGAGGCAAGAGTTTAAATGCTTCTTTTTCACTTTCCCATAGTAGTAAGACATAAGTGTCTATCAAGATCCAGTATATCCTATACAAACAGTGGACCTCTGTGATGTTCTAAAGTTGATCCATTATCACTGATGCCATCTGCAGTATTTACTGGATGTCATAGCATTTCTGTTGGTCTCATTCAGGTCTTAACTTTTGCGATGGGTGAATTTAGCCTTTTAGCCTGAACAATGTCACCAGCAAGGCTGGCTAGTAGCTGTGCTGCAGCAGAGAGGTTTCCCTAGAGCAGTACGGTGCCAGAAGAGCATCCTGGCTGTGCTTTCAAAGGCACACCTGCATCATGGCTCTCTGGAAGGCTGCCACAGGGATCTTCATGTTTCCATCCTTATCAATATTCCTAAAAAAGTCCCAGAGTTGTAGGTTGTGGTCTTTCAACGAGTTCTAAAAGAAGCAGAGATAAAACATGGGCATAACCATAAAACAGCCACTGATACCTGCCTCCAGCTCTCCTCTTCTGTCTATCACCGTGCCTTTAGTCAGCCCATCACTGAGATATATAAGTCCTTCACTCCTTGTGCAGCCACCCTATTGTCAGAACAAAATCTCTTTGTTCAGTTTAATCCCATTCTTCTCAGTTATACCTCCTCTTCCCCTTACCTTGAAATGAGACTCAGTAGTAAACCTGTTTCTTCTGGTAACTGCATATGGTTATTTGGTCCTCATCCCAGCAGCCGCTGCTTGGCTAGGCTGTCTAATCCAGAGACAGTCCTCTCCCCCAGATCTCTGATCACTTTAGTTGCTCTTCTCTGAATTCCCGTCTGTTTGAGTGAGGACACATCTGAGTACCATAATGGCTGTTAAAAACTGCAAAGCATGCTAGTGTGAGTGTCACTAGCTGTGAAGCACAGCAGCACTGTTTGATGTGAGCCAACAGCCCCAGCTTTTGCTTAAGTTCATCTGAATCCGTATCTACAGCAAAGTCTCACCCAATTAGCTGAAAATCTGCACAGCAGCTAAGAAACACAGTGAAGCTGGTAGTGCTAAAGTGTTACTTAGCTCAGCAATGCTCAAGTGCTTCCATTGCCTTCCAGCAAGGAGGACAGCACCATCTGCTGCTATCCATAGAAATTACAGACCTTGAAAAGCTAAGTAATTTCTATTTAGGACGGTATTTTCTTGTAATACCATATCCCACTTTTATGAAGCACATTAATTTTGATGCTAAAGCACAACTGTCAGTGAAGAGTTCTATGAAAGTCAGCTATTGCGGTGTGCTTGTAATGAGGATGGACACTCGTTTGGATCAGACCTGAAATCAATCAGTTTGTTTTACACAGTGAGCAAACATCTATTCAGATTCTTTTTTCCCCCAGTGCTTTCAGATCCCAAGGCATTAGCTTCTCCTGAAAATCAAAGGATTTGCTTAGTCAGTCTGCATGGACTGAGTTATATGAACACTGTGACAGTTTGTGAATATACTTTTCTGAAGGAACTTGGCTGAATTTCCCACTTGGAAGAAAGCTTACCACTCCCAGCCTCCATGTACTTGGAGCATGTGTATTGTGTACAGGGGAGCTGTGGACCCCAATTCAGTCGCTCATCTGAATTTCATGGAATCTGGATGCTGCTTGGGGATCCTGGCAATACAGCCTTCGACCTCACCATAGATGATACCTAGTTCAGGAGGCATTCGACACACCAAATCTAGCAACTTGATGAAGTTTTTGTTCACCAACACATTCTGGTACATAGAAGGAAGGAAAGTGCAGTCAACGTGGATGCCCAAAGAACAACAAAGACTTGTTTGTATTCACGAATCCACCTAAAGACAACATCAACCATTCTCCTCTAAGGGTGGTGCCTTCTCTTATCTCTGCTCTTCACTTTCAGGAGTCACATGGAGGCCTGACCCTAAATAAGTGTTCTTCTTTCTCTTTTCCCATGTCTGAGACAGAAAAGGGGCTACAATTTGTGTAGAAATTACCTTAATGAAAGGTAGATGTTAATCAGGCCAATGTCTATACCAAAGACCTCTTATATTAGGTGATTCAAGTTCATCCCTGACACAGTTCTAGATGGGTCTCCTCTCCCTTTGCAGTTAAGATGCAGACTGCAAGTTGAACAGTTAATGGCCAAAATGTGCCATAGAGTTCTGCAAAATTAAAAAAAAAACCCAACCAAACATCCAAGGCCTAAAAGGATTAGTATCTCCAGCAATGTAGTTTTATAGCCCAGAGAAGAAAGATGCATCTGTCTCGGAAGGGTCCGGCTGTCTCCAGATGAAAAGAACTTTTGCTAAAGCTCTGTCTCATTGTGTAATCCTAATAGGAAGCTCCACTCAGCCGTGCAAGACCTGACGTTTGTTTTTTCCTAAGAATTTCAAACAGGGTAGTGATAGCTCAGCATTTCAGAGCTCACACTGTAAGTTTTCTGTTTTAGCACTTACAGAACGGGCAGCAGCACAGTGTCCTGATTCAGGGTTTGGGGATATTAGAAAGTAAGCTATCAATGCAAATATTATTGATGTCACCGTAATTTATTCTTCTAAATTGTACATTACAGCAAAATTGCCTTTGCCTTGACGGACCTATTAAAAACATTAATATAATTTGTTCATACCCATGATGACAGGGGAATTATTGATGTATTATGTTATGTACTTAGTTGCTGGAAATTTCAAGGCATCTCAGGAAATTCATGAAAGCTGCTGTTTTCTGTCCCTGTGGGAGGGTCCGAAGGCATCAAACACCATATTTTTCCCCAAAGTTTACTTACAAAATCTCCCAAAGCATTAGAAGCTTAAGATCCACCATTTTTAAGATCCATCTAGAAGCTTATGATCTACTGTGCAGTGAGCTCTTGACTGTTACTACTCGAACAGAGTCTTGAACGAGTCTGAGTCTGGCTGGGTTTACTAGCTTTCATTCAGCACCAAGGGTTTTATGGATGCAGAGCAACTCTCTGAAGAAGCCATTCATACATCCTTGCTCTATGCACACTAGCAGAGTGTCCTAGTCCTGGGAACACAGCACAGGAGAGCCCAAGCTGGCTCTGCTGGCTGCCAGCTCTCTCCAAGCCTTGCCAGCCTGGGCTTGACCCCATGAGAAAGCCAGTGGACCACCAGTGCAGCCTCAAAAGCAGCACAGCCAAAGCACTGTGTCTGGCCTAACAAACCATGCTGGGGTTGGGCAGCACCTGGTGGGAGCCAGCTTGTGCACGTCTGCATGTTTGACACAGTCAGTCCACAGTTCAGAAAAACAACACACAGACACCTGAGAAGCAACAGTATTTTCTTTTGGGCTGTGATGGTGAAGATGGGCATGTGCTGGCTATTTTGATTCATGACTTCTATAAAACTTTGCAAGTTGAAACCCTATAAAAAGTAGATATGAAAAGAATGTGGGGACCAGCCATGCTTAGAAATGTTGTCAGAAGCAATGAACTGTTGTTAAAAACGTGCCTTTCTATTGTTTCGCCTTTGCTAGTGCTGTCAAACCTGTGCAAAGATTTCCAGATATGATCCTTATTCAAATTTCCTCTTACAGATACACTAATTATTCATTATTTAAAAGTCAAGATAAGCGTTTCTCACTGGGAAAAGCGTCAGAAGAGGTTTTTGTTTATGTCTTGCCTTAAGTTTCCTAGAAAAGATTAAAACCTTTACTAATTTCTTAAAGGTTTAAGACAGCGCAAGATCTTTGGAGCTATATATTTGCAAATACTCTGAATTGAAATGCAAGACTCCCTACATCACAGGTGGAATGAAGTCTGTCAGATTAGATGTTTGCCTACAAGCATTTGATTGGGATACAGAAATGTCATTGTAAATTTATGCCATTGACCATTAATCTTGTGAAATGCCAGGTAATTTAGACTTTTTGACAGGTGAGGTGAAGAGAGTATCTATTAACCCTAAAAAGCAGAAATTCATAGTGAGATTTAGGTTGAAGATTCTTAATGTTAATTAATGCCTTGCCTCAAAACTTCTCATGTGACTCCTTTTAAATAAATGCATTTCAATGATTTCTTTACTTTCTCAGAATTTAGCTAAAATACATTACTCTTTCCAAGTTTATGAATTGTTTATGTTATTTGTAATAAAACTAGCAGTATACGTACTGTAATGAAGTCCTTTACCCCCCACACAGCCTGTTTTAGTTTTCCTTTGCAGAATGAGGCCTGACTCCTTGCAGACTTGGCAAATAATTCTCTTTGATGTTAATTTATGCAGGAAAAATTATCTGCCCTAGAGGAACACCTGTTCTTCAGATGATCTCTGTTGAAAGCCCTCAATACTCTCAGGAAAGACCACAGATGAATATTATTTATTCTGCTTTATTTTAGTTTCTTTCTGTAATACAGTAACCATAGGACAAAGAAACACATACAGATGTAACTTAGATACAAACCATTACATGAGTCTCCAAAACTGCCCATGAACTTCTTTTTTTAGCTTGCTTCAAGTGTGAACATGTTATTTATATTGCAAGTCCTAAATCTAATCTTTGTGAAAATGCTTTCCTTTAATCACAGCGCTCCCAAAGGTGGATGGAGAGCCCTGAGGCCCTTGACACCTTCTGTAAGTGCTCCCATGAAGCACCAGTGCATGGATGGGAGGTCAAGGAGTGGTCTGATGTGTGCCCAGGTGTCTCCCCGGTGTTGGTCTGTAATGCTACCCCCCTGCCCTAGGTCAGGAGCTCAGAAGCATTTCTAGGTCTCCTGTCCCATTTTAGAAGCAGCACATGTGGTTACAACAATATGCTGTGGAGCAGCATACTAAGATTTGGCTGCTTCGATTATTTTTTTTTTTCCTTCCACACCAGCCTTTTAATATTTTGTTCTGTTTTGGTTTTTTTAATAAAATTGCTTTGCTTTCAATGCCTTGAAGCATCCATCTTCTTCTATTCCTCATACATACTGACAGGGTATCAAAGCACTTCACAGTATCTAGCATCCTAGGTTGCCCTGGAGGGACACAGCTCAGGGGATGAAGAGAATTCATCCTCCAGTGGGAATTCACTCCTTGTTCTTGTTCTGCTATTGCAAAATGGAAGGGAGTGAAATGTGGCAGGCACCTCTCTCCAGAGCTAGACCAAAGCCCTGTAATTTCCACGTGGCTCCTAGAAGGGCTGTTAAATAGTAGCCTCTTTTTATTAACGGCTGTGCATAAAGGAAACAAACGGCGAGTCTCAAAACAGTTATGGAAGGGGGCAGCTCTGCGATCCACCCAGTTCCTGAAAATGTCTAGTGTATGGTCTTGGAGGCTTTCCAGCACATAAACTCTTACTGAGATGTTGATCTCCTCCATTATGGATTTGGGGTTCTTTCTGACAGACTAGCACAGTGGAACCTTCCATGGTCAGGGGATTACTGGCCATCTGTGGAAGAAGAGACATAGATCCAGACATGGTGAGAGTGAGCGTGGGAGAAGGCATGCTATAACCTCAGCGGTGACCCTTTCTTCCCATTCTTCAGCAAGGCTGTAGAGTAACTGTGGCCCGTTTTGATAGGTTTATCTGTTATGTCACCATCTCGTCTCTGTCCCACAGAACTCTGCAATGCAACTTCCCAGTGGAGTTACCTTCTCAGCTTCTCTCTGTCTTCTTGGGGTTGCCATTGCCATGTGCATCTCTTAGTGTATGAACATCACCTCTCCCCCACCTTGGACTTCATGTGCAGTCCCCACTCCCAGTATTTGAAAGAAAACTTTCTTGGTTAACTTTGGCCAGCAGAAGACATGTCCTCCTTTAAGTCCTTTGTGTTATCAGCTCCTAAGACAATCTGTGCAGTTACACAGAGAGAGGAACGCTTTGGTGTGTGCTAGCGACCTTACCTCAAGCCAGGTTAAGAGCAAGGCAAGACAGACACATTTATTTACATAATCTCTCCCAAAGACTGGTGTGGTTGCAGTGATTTACAAGTATAGGGGTGTCCAAAGACAGGCCTACATGAACAGCTTTAAAGATGCCCCTCAGCCACCACACTGCCATTTGCAGGGTCTCAGGATGGTGATGTTAGATCTAGCTGAGAATGCAGCTCGTAAGCAAGCTGACTTTTCTGAGCTGAATTCCTACAGAATGATCTTGGATTGAGAAGACATGTTAGCTCTCAACCATAACCTCTAAAGTCAGCTTGGATGGTCATTCAGTTTTGCCCTTTCCAGGATTATCGATCCCTACCTTATTAGAAGGCAGATTTGGCTTTCCTTTTCCAGGAATTGATAATATTCCTCTCCTTTATGTAGTGCTGTGGCATTGCCCTGACGTGGCAATGACAGTTTATCCTGTGTTTGAATAAATTTGTAGCAAATCGTCAACACACTGAGAAAGACACACTCTTGCCCACCTGCAAACTTCAGTGTGAACCTTTGCCTTAGGTTGAAATGCATATTACATGTACATATGTACCTTCACAACTACATTTTATGTATATATGCAGACCTGTTGAATGCCTAGGCTCTGCTAGACATGTTGAATGCCTAGGTTCTCACTTAAATGAGACTAGACACTTTGGGGTGATAATGGGTGGTTATGTCAAGCTAGTCCCTGGCGCATTTTTTGAGGGAACAGTGCAATTTAGTTGCCATGGAAGAAATTAATGGGATGGGATTTCCTTCTGCTCTGGTTACCTTCAACCCAGAGCAATACTAATTTCTTCCAGTTCTAGCTCAGACAGCTCACCTCTGTCTTCTGTCCCTCCTGACTCAAATCTTTATACTCCCTCTGTTTATTCCTCCAGCCCTGACTGGGCTTTATTTTACCTTCAGGATTATGAGTTTTCCATTGATTTCAAGGCCCCTGCAGAGCTTCTGGCTCTGTTGTTGTTAATCTGGTTGTTGCTGATGTCCAGGTGAACCAGCACGTTACTGACTTTGAGAGCTTCTCCTAGGGCCAGTGCTCCCTCCTTGCCAACACCATTCCAAGAAAGTCCGAGTATTGTCGGTGCACTACTGCCCTCCAGGGAGAGAAGGACCTTAGGTACTGCATACCCAGCTTCTGTACTGCTCTATCCTTTCTCGCCTGTCTGAGACAGAAGCATCCCTCAAGTCACACCCAGGCAGCCCCAACGAATCCAACATCTCTGCAATGTCACCAGGGTCTCTCCATCCATGTAAGTCACCAGACCTATTCACTGCTTTAGTCTTTCTCCTGGCACTGAGTGCCCCTGTCAGGAGGATGAGCCTTGCTAGAGCTACTGAGTCCTGCTCGAACACCAGGGTCATGAGTTCCCAATCAGTGTTTCAACCAGCTCCTGGTAATAATCACTGTGAAGGGTATCTCTGTGAAGGGTATCACAAATCAGGGGCATTCCTACCCTGAGACCTGTGCCCAGTGCTACTGTCCCCTTCCTTTTCAGGTCGTTCCAGCTGAGGTCCAGAATCTCCAGTGTTGTATTGCTGGCTAGGAGAGAGAAACTGAGATGGTACCTCATGAAGGCTGGTCTGGACACAGCTGCTGACGCACTTAGGGACTAAGAGAACGTTTGCTGAGGGTAGTTCAGCAACAGCCTTCATTGATTGCAGTTGGAGGAACCTGTACCTACAGAGTCTTTGCTGTCCACAACAACCAAAGAACAGAGAATGGGCTGTTGATCACAAGCAGAAAGGCAACACAGTTTTTTTTCTGGCTTAATCAAAGGATAAGTTGCAAAGGAGGAAGGTAGAGAGAGGGAGGATTTCTTGTATTAATAGACACTGTTTTTCTCACTGTGAAAATGTGCTGGATTCTCCTTGCCACATCTAAAATATCAAAACTCGCTCTGTGTATGTTTCACTAGCAGAAGAGGAATTCAGCTTCATATGGTAGCTGTGCCCAGCTGTGTATGTGCCAGTGCCAGTTCACATGTATAGCACACCTCACGGTGTAAGTTCTGCTTAAAGGAGGGTATGTGTGAATCCACTTGTGTCTACTGCGACACTGGGAGGGGTAGGACTTGCTGCCAACACTTGCTTCTCGTTCTCAGAGAGAATTTCTCATCCAGATTTTCCATGGATGGGAGGTTGGATGGAGGCAGATGGTGAGTTTAGCTGACTTAAAAATATTCCTTTAAGAATCAAAACAGAAAAGGAACAGATTCTGCAGTAATCTCTGCTGCTTCTGCCTCCAGTGAGCTGGAAGGAGAGAAGAGCTGCAAGACCTTTCATTTTGGAGAGGCATTTTTACGGGCTAGGAAGGTCACAAGTTTTAGTACTGATTTCTGTGTTGCCTGCAGGCTTGTCCAAGGCAGGGGCACACTGCAGTTTTAATTGATCCATCTTTTGAAGACATACATATCATTGGAAATACTGAACCAGGAGAAAAAAAGCATTAATTAAACTGTGTTGTTATTGAAATGCTCAAGGAACACAGGATGCTTATAGCACCCGCTTGTGGCCATTATGGCAGCAGGCATGTGGGAAATATCTAGGGAAGAAGAGCCATTGGATATTCATGCAAGTCTTTCCCAGCGCACTAAAAACACCAGGTTACTGGAACACTGTAACTGTTTTGTTTGCTTTCCTTTTCCAGGGCTACTAGCGCATTCTGGATCTCACTTTGTCTGAACATATAATTTAAGCATCTTAATTTTATTTCTTCCTAATCTGCTGCCCTTGCTGCTTGCTGTGCAATGGCTCAAACCATTTGGGTTTGGGCTACCTAAGAAAAAATGAAATCACTCCTGAACTTTGTAATCAAAAGCTTAAAACAAACAACAGTTCTGGTCCTATTAGATTTTTGTAAAATGCAATTTTCTGCTTTATACTCCCTGAGGGACTTCTGTTTCAGCTCCCTTCTCTCTGACACAGACTGCTCTGTTACTGTGGTTTCTCGTCCTGCATTTGTGTTTTGATACATTAGTTATAATTGCTAGAGTCACCTGTGGTGATGAGGGTGAGCCTGTAGACCAGGTGGGAAGCTCTAAATCTAGGGCCCTGTCTTTTGTACTGCCCACTGGGTCATGGGGCATTTTTGTTGGAGAAGGAAATACATGTCCACTGTGCTGATGCCATCAAGTGCCCCAGTACCCGTATTCCTGGCTTTGCAGGAGTAATAAATTAAGTTACCAAGCATCTGCCTCAGGAGCTGTCCTCCCTTCTCAGAGAACTCATTGTGGCTGAGGTCCAGCTCCTTCACTCTCCTTGCAGAGAGATGAATGTGCAGAGACAATGAGATCTTCCAGCCAGCTGCAACCAGATGCCATGCCAAGGCCCCCACGTGAGGATGAAAGAGAGGGATATCAGACGCACTAAAATCTTCAGTGCAAGGGAGATCATCAGCACAGAGATTGCAGCACTGTGTGTCCCAAAACAAAGCTTTGTCAGGCATATAACATCACGGTGATTATCTTCCCAAAACAGCAAAAGCAATGGGGCTTTGTGTTGTGCAAACTTCCCTTACACAGCTCATGTCTGGCCTGCAACACATCCTGCAACTCTGTTCCTGCCCCTGTTTCACTCCCACCATTGTACTCTGACCAAAAGCACTTTCTGATACCAGGTCAAGGCCTTGCTTCAGGGCAGCTTCTGGTGCTGCCAGATGATGCAGAGGCTTTGAGACAGGAACTAACCAGAGAAGTCGAGCATCTTATTTTTACTACAGAATTGCAAAATTATATGAAGTTGGGTTACTTACGCTTCTTGAAAATTTTTTGTCACCCAGATGTCATTCTGTTGTTCTGTTACACAGTCCTGAAGGTTTGTTTCTCAGCCAGCCTCACACAGCTGTCCTGAGAAAATGTTAACGCAGTCCATCCGGCTCTGTGTCCTCCCAGCCGCTCTCATTTCTGAAGTAAGCAAGAGGCACTTAGCAGAATTATGCCAGGAAATCATGTGGGCATTGCCAAGTGAAATTATGCCAAGTGAGTAGCAACTTCAAGATGAGGAGAGTCTGTTACACAGCCAGGGCTGCAAATGACCTTGGATTTCAGGTAACTCACTATTAATGCATCAGCAAACTATGGCACAGTCTCTCCTCCAAAGCTGTTTCCTGGGGAAGAAAAGTATGTTAACAGTGTGCTGATCTCTCCCTTGGTGCTGTGCTGGGGTCTGCAGGAAGCTGTGCTTTTAGGTGGAACCGCTAGTTAATCACAGCCTATATCTGGCTGTAAGAAGTTAGTCACTATTGCATTTTGCTCCATAGAGTAGAATTACCCCAAGGCGTGGGAGATACTCCAGCAATTACCTAAGTTTCTCATAAGGGACTGGTTTTCAGAGGCGCTGGAGATTGAGCAGGCCAAGTATTTAATCACAGCACTATAAATCTAGATTTCCACTGTTACTCTGGGTTCTGAGACATAGCTGAGAGATTGATTTTGCCTGTAGACTGACCAATGTTCTCAGGATGAGAGACTGTAATGCAACACATGTTATTTCACTTCCACTGCCACCACTGTTTGTGTGCATACAGCCTACCTGAGAGCCGAAGAGCATGGAGGTAGGACATGTTATCCAAAAGCAAACTGGCAATGACTTCAGGTCCTGCTGTGTCTAGATGGTTACTGGAAATGTTCTGGAAGGAAAGAAGGGAGGATAAGAAGAATGAGTCCAAAGAATGAATCAGCTTTATTGTCTTCTTAATGCCCAAGATATCAAGGGAATAATTCAAGACGAGCAATATGAGAAATGTCAGCCAGACAGTAATAGTAATTAACATGTGACTTATATGTGTGTTTAACCTTGTATCCTTCCTAACAGGAATAAAGCCCTAGAGCCATCAGTTTCACATGGGTCTTTGTCTTCAGTGAACCAAGAGGCATTTGGCCAAGAATCTTTTCTTCCAGTGTAACACAGATCCCATGGCGTATCAAAATGCATTTTGTATACCCCAGTTTCAAATTGAAGGAACATTCCTACCAGTTCATATCTGAAAGTTTTGCATTATTCCCTTAATCTATTTAGAAAAGTTTCCCCATGTCATATTGGAGAATGAAAGTTCCTGACCAGAACATGTTTTTTTTTCATTGGCTAAGCATGAACTAGAAAGACTTAGTTATGGTAATTATTGTCACATCTGCAAATGAAGAGAACAGTTCCAGACTCACCAGACTGCCATCACATGCACTCTTCTGCTTTTCAAAAGATTGTACTTCTTAAAAGTAGAACAGCATAAAATATCATGACTTTTGTTAATGTTTATAAATACAGTGGGTAGGACTTTCTGTTGCTTTTTGCCAGCCCAGAGACCTAGGTTCAGATCCAAGCTCCACTTCAGGCATCTTGGGCTTGCACATTGCTGAGTGTAGCACATCCCAATGCAGAACCCAGATTGGGGGATACCAATCCCTCCAGCCCTACCTCTGGCCCTCTAGGGGTTAGGAGCACTGGAGACTTGTGTCCCATGGAAGAGCATCAGTTTGCTCTTGGGGGTAACTCCAGCAAAGGCCAGCAATTGCCACACAAAACTTTCTTGTGCAGGGGATTAGAAACATTAGGGATGCTCAGAGCTCCTGTGGGGAAGATACATGACTTTTTCTCCCATACTCTGTACTCAGTGATGGCTTTCAGGCCTGAGCAAGGCTTAAAATGCCTATGGTTCTTGAAAACAGTGGCCCTACTCTTACTGGCTACTCACTGCCAGAGCATTAGCAATGGCTTTGACACCTTTGAGTCCTAGACCATGGTGGTTCAGGTTTATATAAGGCTTGGCCAAGTTCTGAATAGAGTGTGAGACAGGCACCACCTTCATCAGCCTGCATGCTTCCAAGTACAGCTTGGAATGCCTGTAAAGGCCTTCTCAGGCTCTATGGAGAAAAAGTATAGTGATGAGTGGTGCATTCAGTGTCCTTCCTTCACTTTTAAATAAATTAACTAACTTAACAAAATTACGTAACACTATGCAACAACAGCAGGGTTTTACTCTTAAAGGGTTATCATCACCTGGTTCTCCCCATCTCTTTATCCCAGACCTCCAAGAGTTAATGTATTCTCCTTGCTTCTCCATTTGGCATCCAGTGACTTGCTGCAGCTTCTCACCAGTCTGCAATGTGACTGAACCTTTCTTGGTGTAATTGAGAATTCTTGACATCAGGCAAAAAAATTTTATATATTTTTTTTTAAATCTTAATTGAAGCATGCAGCTGATATTGCCAGCAGACCTAGGGCAGCTCAGAACATTTTGGCTTACAACCAGCAGAAAGAATCCCAGCATTCTCATCTTGGCCATTGGGTGTTGTTGACACAGCTGCAGTGAGACATATCAGTGCAGCTGGCAGCTGTATTTCCACAAAAACCTGTCATTTGGAATTCCTTCATCGAACCCCGTACTTAGAGCTCATATTTCTCCATGTTGTTATATGCTTTCAGTGGTCTGACCTCAAGACCAATTCCCTTCTCATCAAAGCCATTTTCCAGTTCAATCTGAGACCTCTAACAAAACAGTCTTTTGTTCTGGCATTCTTATGGGTTTTGATTTTTCTTCCGTTTATAACAAGTGAAAAAGTTCTCATCCTAAATTATGGACAAACTCTACTGTTACAAAAATGAGTGCAAGACTTCTTGAGCCAGAGGACTGACTTCACTAGGCAGAAGATAAGACGAGAGCCACCAGAAAAGTCTAGGACAGTTGTGGCAAGCCTATGGTACGCAGACCGCAATTGCTACGGAGTGTTTCATCAGGAGCGCACAAACAAGGCCTAAGTCCCTGGTTTCAGCTAGCTGCTCCTGCTGCCCAGGTAGTGGGCTGGTCTGGTAGTGTTGGTTATTAAGGCCTAGAGGAAAGAAGGAAAAAAGGAATAGGCATGGTATATAGAAAGCAGTTGAAGGAAGATGCTTGACATCAAAGAGAGAGAGGGAAATTCATCCCCCTTCACCTTTATCAATTGACAGATTACATGTTATCAGGACCCTGGCATGTGTGGCCTGTGTGGCCTTCTCTGCTGGGGCATCAGCCAGCGACACAGACTCTGGAGACTCACTGATTTCAGACGTCTCTTCGTTCTGGTCTGCCATGAAACCAGCCAGATTCATTTTGTCAATGCAAACCCAGCAGAGATGTGACTCTCTGGATGTGATAGGCCTCCCTTTGCTCTCACTGAAGCCTGAACCTGTCTTCAACATGCTGCAGATGCACTCCTTCCCCAGCCCCACTTTGTGCCCACTGCTCCCTGTACATTGTACACATGCATTGCTGGCCCTGGTGTGGGGATGGGCTCACTCTGGGGCTACAGATCTGCGGACCAGCTGTGGCTTGGCAGCTTTTGGAAAGAGCCTTTCCCAAATTCTGCAGCCCATGTGTGAGGGACTCGCAGTTCTCCTGCATTAGGTCTTTGTTCCCTCATGAGCTGCCTTTCTCCCCTTTCTCAATTTCTGAGCCCACCAGGCAAAGGAAATTTCCCCAAAAAAAATACAAACCTACAAGCCAAACCCATACCGGTTCCTCCTAGCTCTCCTGAACTGACACACTTCCCCAGGCATGGGCAGGATACTGTTGGCTGACTTTGCAATCAGGCTGGGAATGCTTTGTAGTACTCTTCAAGCATGGCAGAAGAGAAAGTATTTGAATGCTATTGTATATTGGGACAGAGTGTAACTAGACCCCCTGGAAGTGATACACCTTCTCTTACCTACAATTCTTATTTATTTTATAGTTAAGAGAGAAGGAGAATTTGGAAAATTCCTTTTTAAGAGGAATAAATGCATAAAAAAATAATGAAGAGTAATTTTTCAAAAATAATTTCTGGCTAGTAACATAATACATGGGGGTTTTTTCCTACTCTGAATCTTCCTTTTCATTCCCTGTTCTTACTACCTACTTCCCTTACTCCTTATTTCCTTTTAGAGCTCCAGGCTATTGACCCGTAATTTTGTACCCTACTTAGGTGTCAGTTAGCACTGATGTGTGAGGTGGAGCTTGCAGTTTGGCTGTTCATTCACACTTGTGTGAAGGAAAGACTGGCCAGCTGGCACCCACATCACCACCGCATTTCAACCAGTCCTGCAGCTGCAGCTCCTTCATTAAGACCTTTTCCTTCTGCCAGACTTTATTAGTTCAAATGATAGGTTTACTTGCATTACTTTAGTGCTAGAAAGACAAAAGAAAGGGTAAAAGTAGGTCTAAATCCCATGTCAAGAACTCATGAGATAAGTAGAACCAAAGATTTGGGACAGTATGACAGTACCCACTGATCCTCTTTGCTTAATGGCCCTACAGTGCTGGACATCCTGATAGAAGTAAACTTCCCACTCTGCTGAACAGACTGTCTATGCTATACAAAAGCATCCAGACTTTATCATCACCCAATAACATGGCTGTCATGTGCCCACTACGTCAGCCACTGCTGCAGTGGGTGGGCTGAGACTTCTGAGGCAGATCCAGAAGTGGCCCCTGCGCTCCTGTGGAGCTGTAGAAGTTGGCACTGATACAGATGATAATACTGTCCTTCAAGCAGAAATTTGAAAAGAACTGAATCATGATTATTGGTGTTAAAACAAATGCAGTGGAAAGTGATGGGTCCTTTATCACCCTCTCCTTTCCCCAGGTGTTGGGGATGCAGACGCAGCTTTCTGGTCAGCCTCCCTCATGCAACAGCTTGCACCAGTCACAAACCACGAGCAAAGATGGGAGTTCACTCCATGGTTTGATGCACGACTTGTGAGGGGTGCATCCAGATAACTGCAAATCCCTTCTCTCATGCTAGGGTAAAGATGCCTGTTCTCTGGGTATGTTGCTTTATGTTGTCCCCTCATTTGTGTTGTACAAATATTCAATAAATCACATTAGCAAATTACTGTTCAGTAGCTCTGTGGACTAGAGAAAATGCTTATCTTTTGCCTAGTATTGCAACAAGGTCCTAGTTCATGCTGCTAAACTAATGAAGTGGTCTCTCTTAGAATCACTAGTGATGGAGGTAAAGGTCAGAGGAAAATTTTAATGAATTGTTCTTCTCTGCCAGGATAAAATCTAATTGATGTATCCTAAGGAATTTCAGCTGTGAAAGGAAGCTATCAAGACTGTCCTCACTTCTTTCTCTCTGAATGTCTGGCATAAGACATATATGAGAATAACAGCTCAACTGGGGCAACTCATGAAATTGATCATAGCATTTTGCAGTAGGCAGACAAAATGATACTAATGTAAACAGTCAAATATAAGCATTTTGACAACATTTTGCCTCAGGAATAGGGTAGGATTAACAATTATGCCATTCTCCTTGCTGCCACTGTCAGTCAAATTCAGTCAGCATTTTCCCCATAATTATTTAACCCAGTATGTAAGTAAAATGGCAGCCAACTATTAACTGACCAGGTATTTCCCAGTGATAGTATTTTTTGAGTTAATACTGTCAAAACCCTGTAAGAAATACTAATTTGAATATAATTGTTTGGGCTTGAGAGCAGGTAATTAATTTTGTCAGATCCCCACACTTAAGGAGTGAAGGTTTCAAGAGTTCATAGCCAAGAACAGACACCTTGTTTGCAGAAAAGCTATCTAAAAGGGACTAATCCCAAATAGGCAATAAATTATTATTGCTGGATCAGAAAAACATTCCGAGCTACCTTTACAGAAAAAATAAGAAAGAATACTTAGACAAATGTAATTTCGAAACAATGGGAAATATCTAATAAAGGATCTCATCTATTAGAACAACTATTAGGGAAAATTATTAAGTAACACTTCATAAATTGCATTATACTCTATATAAATACAGAAGAACAAGAAACAAAGAGGGAAGTTGTCCCATGTATCTGACTACCTTACAGTAATTGCATTATGAAGAAAATAAGAAATTAATTTGTAATGACTAAGTGACAGGCCAAAGGAGGCTTTGAACTTCGAGAGGAACCACTATGCTAAGCTAGGAAGTCAGGCAAAAATGCTGCGAGCAGACCCAGAGCCTGACTCTGCTGTGTGCAAGCACAGCCTGACAGCAGCAGGTTCAGAAAACTCTTCTGCCCCTCATGCCCTGCTTGTCCTTCTGGGCCATGCGGGGCTCAAACAGGATCTGGTCTCACAAGGCGCTGAGCTCCGACACCTCCTGTGGGCATTAGGGGCAGCTGGGCGGAGTTGCTTGGACGCTGGTACTGGCAAGCCCTCTTCTGATGCGTTTCGGTTTTCCCAAGCTGCTCCTGGATGGCAGCTCCCATCTCTGGGCACTGGCACCCTGGATCCCTGTTCACCACCTTTATTCTCATTGCAGCCTGGCCTGGGGAAGGGAAGCCTTCCCACCTGGGGATCAGCCTGCTGCAACAGCAGTCCTTCTTGGGTGCTGGCGATTTTCCTGTGGCCATTTCTGACTATTTCTGAAGTGAGTTTGCTAGTAACTAAACACCACACCTGCGTCCTTCTCAGACTCATCCTCCATGTCACCACCAGTGAGTGGTGGGTTCCTTTACTTTTTCTCTTCTGTGAATGAGGAGTTCACAGCCACCTCGTAGACCCTATAAGCTCCTCACACCTACACACAAAAAGCGCAGCTGCTTGGTCATGATTAAAACATCTCCAGGAGGAATAGTGCCACTTAGAAGATCTGTGTTCTTGATTTATACTGCTTATGAACAGGAGAATCCCATTTCTTGCTTGCAGGGGCTGGCCTGGTGTCATGAGAAAGCCCTGTGGAGCCTGCAGCTGCCTTGTCCCCTCATCTTGCCTTTCTGTGACCTCACCTGCACCTTCCAACTCCAAAGGGTGACATTCAGTGCTGGAAACCCCATTGCTCTGGGATCTCATCGGCTCCCGGTAACTGAGAAAAGAACAGCTGTGGTTTTGGCTGTGAACCCCCCACCAGACGCATCAGAGAGTCGTGCCAGGCTGCTGGTAAGAATCCTCCTCTCCTTTGAGTGCGTATTCCAGTTCGTACAATTTCATGAGAAAGCCAGACTGCAGCAGTTATAGTCTTAAAGGAGATGAGGATGGAAGGAGTGTATTTGCCTTATTAGTCTTGAACAGATTCAGACTTCTCTACTGACAAATTCCCGGTACGTTCTGTAATAAAGTGTGGCTTGTAAACTTGCCAGTGCTTAACGGGGCCTTGAATCAAGTACTCATTCATCCCACCACTACTGTCGGTGCCAAAATTCATTCAGTGCTTATCACTGTACATCTTTTATACTGAGGACTTTGTGACCTTTCCTAAGGGTTTAAAACCAAAACTGTAACAGAAGAGGCTTTCTGATAAAGGTTGAGCAAAACTAATACATACATTTAGAAATCTTTCCATTATGGACAATGCTTAGAGAACATAATCTCTAGTACAGATTTTGAAGTTTATGTAGACTGCATAGTGTAATATGGACTATACAGAGAGGAAGGAAAAGTCTTATTTCCCCAAGGACAGACTATTTTTAGCAGTTTTATTCCCCTAGGTTCTACATAAACATCTCAAGTAGTCCAGTCATTAGAGACCATGGTAGGGTTATATTTGGATATAGAACAAAATGCCACAAAAGCCAGTGGAAGGTTTGACCCTGAAGCAGAGGACTGTTGTCAGCTTTGATTTTATTGCCAAAGTTTGTAAATATTTTTTCTAGTGTAGGCCAAACAACTGTGGCTGTCCGGATACTCGCTTGTTGTGGCACTGGCTAACATTCTTCTCTGATTTCAGTCTGATTGTCCTGATGTGGATTGGGTCTGAAGTGACTTTCTTAGATCTTTCCTTTTAAAGATCAGCCTTGTTTCAAATGCCCAAACATTGGAACAGGCTGCCCAGGGAAGCGGTGGAGTCACCATCCCTGGATGTGTTCAAAAAACATGTCGATATGGCACTTGTAGACATGGTTTAGTGGGCATGGTGGTATTAGGTCAATGGTTGGACTTGATGATCTCAGAGGTCTATTCCGACCTAATGATTCTATGATTCTATGATTAATGTTGCAGATCCTTCCTCTGGAGAACACCCTCCATCTTCTGACTAGAAACCAACGATGGTTTCCAGAGGTTTGCCTACTGCAGCAGGAGATGGGAAACCACGGTCCAGTTCTGTGCTTTGCCAGACATCTGTGGGATTTGAAACAAATCACTGCATCTATGGTCCGTGATGTTTTATAACTGGGGATTTGAAAATGAGACTAGTGGGATTATTATTTGTATACGTTATAATATCAGCTCAGATCCTAGCTGTGGACACCCATTGTGATGATCACCATACACAAATAGTGTAAGAGGCAGGTTGTCCCTCAAAAAGTGTTTCGTCTGAGCATAACTCATGAGACAGCAGCTGGTCAGCATCAAGGGAGCAGTTTGGCAGCACCCGTCAGCGCAAAAGGCAGAGATGACATGAGTCTTGACTTCATTGCAAGTGCCCATCTTAAGACAGTTTGGAAGAAGGCTACCAAGATCACACATTAGAAGTGTGTATTTGGTGTAGAAAGCTGTAGCAGTGCTCAGTTCGGTCTGTTTGCTTTTAGATGTTGTGCACGCTCAAATATGGAATGAAGCAAAAACATTAAAAATGTGGACTTCAACCAGGACTTCTCTTTTCGTATCTGGTTTCAAATGTAGTGGGTCTTAACTTGCAAAGGACACAGTGTGCTCACAGCCAGGCGAGAGGGAGCGATTCTGCAGAGCTGTGATGACCTGTGAGCAGCACATGGAAGGAGAGCACGATCCTGTGCTGGGATTTCACCCACCCCCAATGGCGTTTGTCCACATACAGGCTGCGCTCTGCAAAACGTTGGCTATCATCAACTGTGCTTGCAAAGCCAGTGTAATGATTAATTCATCTGGAGCAAACAGGACTTTAGTTGCATCGTGGATTTACAGGGGAAAAAAAATCCTGGAAATTTCCCTTTCTGTTTGGATTTCCAGAGAACGGGGGGGGGGG